GGAGCCCGCGACCCCGGGAGTACGGGCGGCTCGCACGTAAGTACGGCTGCTGGGGAACGAGTGTGAGCCTCACAGGCTGCGTTCAGCTCCTGCGAGAGGAACCCCTGCTTTGCTGGCGTTCAGCGACCAGGGGTAACCCCATGCTGAGCCCGAGCTCCGACCGCAAATGGTTTACAGCTCGCTTTGTCTTCCGGGCTTCATGTTTAAAGGGTTTTACGGTGAGTTTAGTGCAGGTTTAATTCTGCTAGCAGCGGTGGATCAAGCAGCTGCAGTGTAAACACAGAGCCTGTCTTTGAAACTCCTCAATCTTTTTAGGGAGTTATGTATAAATTTGGATTATCACTGAAGGAGACATGCCCAAATGAACGTTATTATCAAAAAAATTATATCAATCAGCCTGATTCAGAAAAAATCCTCTTCTTCCTTTTCTTTACCCATTCTTGAAGTTAACTGGCCACAAACAGCAAAACCTAAAATTAAATAAATGGGGCAAATTCAAACAGCCAAAAGCATAATGAAATAAATGAGACAAATTCCTTGAACTGCACTTAACATGAAAATGAATCTCAGCTGCTCATTAGAGACCACAGAGCAGGGGACGTCAGCAAATTAAATCACAGGAAGTAGAGGGAGGCACAGAAAAAAGGTTGATTATCAAAATCTTCTCTTATTAACTGCAGAATATGTTTTCAAGATTGGAGGTGGTAAAATATGTTGGAAGCAAATGGCAAAGCCTCTTTCTGCACTTAAAGTAAAAAGCGAGGAGTTGGGCAGAGCAGAGGAATGGGTAAACAAGGAATATACCACTTCATTTTCAGGGTGGGTCAGCAGTGAGTAATTCTCACCTGGTGTACATCCAAGTGTTTGCTTCCTTACACTCTATGGCAAAACTTATACTTGGTTTCCCCAGGTTAATTCAGATTTTGCTGGGGATTTGAGTGCTGGTCAGCTGGGAAAAGGATCTGGGGGTGTTGGTGTGCCCGTTTGAGGGCTCACATGTGGGCTGGGGGGGCATTGCCTTCCCATGATGCTTCAACCAGCCCTCATGGCCATCCAGGACCCAGCAAGGTTTTTACAGCTCTCTCATCTACTTGTTACCAGGCTCTTTTTGTCACTGTTGATGTTTGAAATGCTCAGTTTTGCTGGTTTTTTCCCTTGAAAGCTTCTTTGCTGTCTGAGAGGGCAGGCACAGGGAGTGTGCTGAAAGCCAGGTCTTCCTCTGCGGTGTTATGGGGGGAAAATCATACTTTTGCTCCTGCCCCAGCAGTTGCTGTTGGTCTTTGGGACTGCCTCAAGGCCAGCAATTAACAGGCATTGCTAATTGACCTAACGGCTCTGGCAGCAGCATGCGCTGGAGGAGGCACATTACCATCGGCCTTCTCTATTCATCCTCCTATGGGAACATCTGAGATGTGTAGAGATGTGGCTCATGGGATGCAAAACTAAAACATGCCATAGCTTGGACTTTATATCTGGTATGAGCAGCAAAGGTAGACGGGCAAAGCCAAGCAGCTCACATTACTGTTGAAAAGGGGCAGGGGGAGGAGGAGGAGCTGGGGAACTGCAGCTGCTCAGCATGACAACTGTCCCTGTAAATCATCCTTTGAGAAGCAGTGAGAACCAGAAAGAGAATGAGGTGATGGCCAGGCAATGTGGAGATGTCAGGGAGAAACTGTGCCAAGACCGTATTTCTGCTGGTGGCGTAACAATCCTGGTGTGCAGGGAAGAAGGAGGTGCTTCTATCCAGGGGTTTAAGGGTTGGCACCATCATGAAGGAAGAAGGAGGTGCTTCTATCCAGGGGTTTAAGGGTTGGCACCATCTTGAAGGAAGAAGGAGGTGCTTCTATCCAGGGGTTTAAGGGTTGGCACCATCTTGAAGGACTTTCTCATAAGCAAGCAAGAAAGATGTGGCCTCAATGAGACAGCTGCTGAGTGGGTGGAAAAGTGGGTGCACACTTAGAAAAGTTATGAGCAGTTCACTGCTGGAAAGGGAGGTGATGACGAGTATGAACCTGAGACCATCACTCTTTCATGTTTCCATTCATGATCTGGGGGAGGTACAAGACCGTTGTTATTCGATGTGCAACTGGGAGGGACTGGGAATACAACAGAGGACAGAACTATCACTCAAAGACACAAGAGAAGTACCCTGGAAAAAGCCCGTGGTTTGTATTTCAGTGGTCATGCTGGCAAGCAAAGGCAATGAGTGAGGATCTTGGTAGGGTGAGGGAAGCCATTGTGGCTGTGCTGTGGACCTCAGTGGTGGGAGGCTTTCACTTGTGGCTGCTGCACTTCAACAATGCAGGGCTTGGCTGGAGGCAGCCCAAAAGAACCAATAAAATAACGTAACCTCTGCAGGGAAGGCAGATCTGATGGTAAGAGATGCAGCGTGGTCCTTAAGCCCAGGACCCACAAGAAGGAAGAGGACCTCCTTCCCCTTGCCAGTTAGGACAAGGTGTGATGGACTTAAACTGCAATTTAAGAAGGAGTGAACAAATTCCATTGCACTTTCCAAGGCACAGCCCAACATTTCCCGGTAGCACTCTTTGCCTCCCCCATGCCTGACTCTGTGTAAGCCAAGTTTAGCACAACATCCATTCCGGTAACTCACGTGGCTTTTGTGAATCAACTACTTAGCCCATGGGAATCATACCATTATCTTCAGAGGAACCAGAAAAATAAAGAGTGCATTTGTAAGGTTTTTATTGTTTTCACCCCACCATCAGCATTCCATTTAAGAACATCAAAAGCTTAAAAAAACAGATAGAGACATCTGCCAGCATCTCTGGAGATGTGTGCTGCACTTTCTTCTAATCCAGACCAAGTCTTTGGAGCCTCTCTCCATGCCTTCAAGAAATAGGGGAATTTTTCTTTTGTTTAAGAACCGTCTAAAGACCCTTTTACTGGGTTTTAAGAGAGCCCTGTGTCAGCACAGTTAAAAAATGCTAGCATTTCCTCTGTGCAGATTAAAGATGATATATTACCCTTTGCTGCTCAAACCTGATTTACAGCCCCTATTGCAGAATTGCATAATACTTTTTAAAGTGCTCTGAGGTGAAGCAGCGGAGCAAAGTCCAAGTGCATGCTGGTTTTCACCTCTCCGGTGTTTGTTATTCCCTCTCTAGGTCTGAAAGAAGAGCTGCAGGGACCAACCTGTTCCCTCCTGCGCCCTCCAGACCCCCAGCATGGCATCGCCCATGAGGAGCCTGCTCACCGACCCCGCCAGATACCTCCAGTCTTTCCGCCTCTTCCTCGCAAACTCGACCGAGCACCAGAGCATGCGGGAGTTCATGGAGCGGCAGCTGCCGGCCGTGGTAGCGAGGTAACGCGGAGGTGGCCACATGGAGCTGAAGGGCAGCCCGGTGGCGTGTTCCTGTGGCGAGGACAGACTCAGGGGATGCTTGCAAGAGGCAGATTGCTGTTCCCCGCCGGCCGCCCTGTCTGTGGGTTTCTGATAGGGCTTGTCTGGAAATTTCATTTACAGACACTGCTGAACGGCTGCTCTTTGGGATGGAGCCTGCCTAGCAGGGAGGAGATAAGGCTGAATTGTTTCCTTGCATGCTTACCCTGAAACAGCTTTAAAATGCAGTAACAGATACTATGTTCTAAGATTAAATTTGATTGAAAGTAGCTTTTAAAATATAATCTTTTCAGGTAATATTTAGGCTCTCTCTAGTATGTGTAAATCATGCTCCTGCTTTGCCTGCCTTGTTTTTTGCTGGACCACTCGCTTTGCGGGCTGGCTGGAGCAGCAGGCAGCTGGGGTTGAATCCTGGCTCTGGGAAGGCATCTCTCTAAGCCCAGGGGTTTATGGCTCTGCGGAAGCCCCGCTAAGGGATTTTAAACACATTACACACTCCCCTCTTCCTCTCCATTTTGCAAAATGCAAAACTTCTCCAAATAATATTTAAGCTGTGGGTCCAGACCCAGGGGGGTCTCTGGTCCTCAAAGCTCAGACACAGAGAAAGTATGTAGCTGCTGCTGCTTGTATCATTTCTAGTAAAAGCAGGGCTCCTCTACAAATTGCCGAAATAACTGAAAATCGGGAATCTCCAACAAGCAGAGTTCTGAATCTGATCCCTCCTGCCAGCTCACAGACATGCCCATACACATACATATTGCATTGGATTTCGTCCTGCAGGTTTTAGTCCTCATGGGATCTTGAGTGCTTCACAAAATAGAGGTAACCCTCTCTACTGGGTAGTTTTATTAAACTGTATAAATAATGTTTTTCAGTGTTGGAAATGGGAAGTCTACAATCAATATCCTAAGTGTTGGTGGTGGAGCAGGTATGCTATGGACTTCAGTATTGGTATGATTTTGCCTTTTTTATTTAAGAATAGAGGATTGAAAACTGCAGAAAGGAGTGGAGTGGGAATTAAGACTCAGCTCCAGGGGACTGATGGCATTAGCTGGTGTATGGCCGTGAATGGAAACAGCTTGTGCCTCCCCACCTCGATTCTTGTATGTCCTCCATGAGAAACCTCCTTCTGCAACATCACTCCTCAAGGACAGAGAGAGGTTTGAACTTCCCCATACTGTTTCTATGCAAAGAAAGCACAATAATGTCTTAGAATATTACTTTTTCACTCACATTGCAATTCCTGTCCCCTGTAACTATTTACCTATGTGGTAGTTCCCCATCATTGCTTCCTCCTGCCTTGGTATATGACAGCCTCCACTGACCTCCCTTTTGCCTGTGCATAGTTGCTGACCACAGTCAGTGCACAAGGGCCTCCTGTACCCCAAAACACTGGAGCTGAACACAGGCTTCAGAAGAAATCCAGAGGAAATCCAGAAGAAATTGGAAGAAATAAGTCTCTTAACACTGTTGGATGGAAAAGCAGTACCAATAATATCAAGTGGCTTCTTCTTATTAAATTATTGCCCAAGTTCCCTCATAATTGAAGCCTATGTTTTCTAATTCTGCTCTCCCAGTGAAGTCATCAAACTTAAATTTTATAAGAACAGGTAATTTAGCTTAAATGCTTTAGTCATATCATCTCCAAAGACTAATTTCAGCTTTGTCAATCTCTCCTAATAAGTAAAAATAACTGTATGTAAATGGTGGGCGTTAGTTATAAAACAGGGTGACAGAGTAGGAACTCTCAAAATCAGACAACCCATTCTTCTACCAAAAAAGAAAAAAGTTGTTTTTAACAGGAACAGTCTACTTAGTGAGGTACTTAAGTCCCAAACCAGGGCCACTCCAGCTTAGCATGATGGATATTCAACCAATAAAGTGCAGGCAAAACTCATTTTGTGGTGTAAAAAAACCCCCTACACCACCAAAACCCTGCTCCTCACTGGGTTGTTCCCACCGTGGGTCCTTGGGAGCTCAAGATGCACCAAAGTCCCAAATCCCCCATCCAACCCTGGGGCAGTGATGGAGCTGCTGCCCTGGCCCTGTCCGTGTTTCACAGGAAGGGAGCAGGGAAGAAGAGCGTTTCCGTTCCACTTTTCCACCTCGAGAGACAAGCAAACCGTTTAATGAAGCATCATCTCCCATTACACCCACCCATCTACAGCGCCTGCCTTCGCCTACAGCCTCTGCCTTATTAAGTTCACACTCCGGCGCGCAGCACTCTGTACCTTTAAAAACCATAAAAGTCCTCAATGCCGCTATAAAGTAGCAACTGGGCTATAAACTATCCCGTTACGTAAAATGTTTAATTAGAAACTTAATGGTGAACATAGTGGTAGCCTTTAAAAAGTAATTGTGTTGGAGAGTTTAAATAATGCGGATAGCCTAATTGCCAAATTGTTGATCGTGCAAGCTGCCACAGATTTGACTGTAAAATGCCTCAGGACACTTGTTTGCATATAAAAGAGCTAACTGAAGTCAGTTAAGGCTGTGGATTAAGTTATGGATCAAAGGGGTGGTTTTTCTGGTTAAAAACAGTACAAGGGTGGCTTGGCCACAGAAGAGTGGGAGGGGATATATTAACCTATCCACTTATGGAAGTACGAAATTCAAAATTATTTTATCAGGACCTGCACAGCCTTTTGAAAGGACTAATCCACTTTACAAAAAGTTGGTAAAGCAACCAAAAATCAAAAACATTGCAGTAGCTCTGTGTTCCCAGATTTTGCCACGGCAGCCTGCAGACGACTTGCTCTGATTTTGCAATAAAATACAGGGTTCGCCTTCGTAGCAAAGCTGCAGCTATTTCTGCTCCTTCAGAAATTCAGTTTCCCTCCCTTAAAAAACATGTTGGCACAGATGCCACATAAATTTTGGTGTTTTGAGTTGCTTTAAGAAAGACACCTAAGTCTGAAAAAGTTGAACTCTTCCTCCTTTTTTTATGTTAAATTCTTGGGGTGTTAATGACCAGGTGAGACCTTGGCTATGGGGCCTTGTTTTGACCTGTGGTGATGTGTGGTGAGGCCAGAAACAGGCAGAGAGATCTTCTTAGTGAAAAGGACCCTCCTGGAGAGGACCCAGTGTGCTGGGGTGCACATTATGGCTATTTAACTCCCAATATTTTCCTTTTGCACCTCAAATCTCTTGTATAATAGAGCTAATGCTGAATTTTATAGCTTGGACTTGTGTCAAGCACAAGTACATCTTCCAGGACAAAGCTCAATATTAGTCTGTAGCATGACCCCTGGGTCTATTATTCACCACAGTTACCCTCTGTTTCACCATTTCTGCCTTAATTCATTCTTCTGGTTTTTCCACCTAAAACTTATTCAAGTGCAATAAGCAGAAGCGAGCCCTAAGAAACTTAAGCAAGCCAGCATGATGTTGTCTCTGGACCCATGCCTCGGTCAGGAGCATCATCTCCCTGAGCTTCCCATATTGTGGATGGGGAAAGGTGGCCAAGAGCCATGGCAGTTCCTTTTAAATGTTGAAATGTTGGATCTCTGGGTACTTCCATCAGTAAAATAACTGCAGCCAGCCTGAACAGTATCCAGAGAGAGGTGTTTCTCACCAAGTGCAGTCAGCTCTGGGGTATTCTGTAGACAGGGGTTAAATAAACATAGATGGTGTGTGCAGTATTCATCGTACTTATGGAAAAAGTCAGAGGACACTGAAGACAAACAGACATGAACATTGCTTCTGACTCCAATGTAAACACATGTGCTCTTCTCCTTCACCCGCATGACCTGGTAACCACTGGCTAAAAATGCTCTTACTGACTCCTAAGAAATCCTGCCAGGCTCGCTGGTCACTTGGAACCACCAGTAGTGGTACTTTCATTCATTTAGGATCTTCCCTGCAAGGTTAGGTGATGTCCAGGAATTGTGAGGTCAAGCTACACACCTGGCTGTGTCTGGTTTTCCTTTGGCACTGATGGTGGCAGTCAGAGAGGAGGAATGAAGATGGGACCGGCATTCAAATTTTTCTCAAATTCTAAAGCTAACGGTGGAGATAACGTTGGCCTGAGCTTTGCCTTCATCTTCTATTTCATGTTGCCTGCTTCCCTAGGTGAGATTGACCTGCTGATCCTCTCCAAAGTACAAGCCAGATATCCAGGGGTTGCCATCAACAACGATGTGGTAGAGCCCAGTGCTGACCAAATCTCCAAGTACAAAGGTATTTTTACATTGAATACATTAAAATTACATTAAGTACACGAAATGCTTTGAAGAGTTGAACGCTGGATGACCCCACATTCAAATGATTTCTCATCAGAATTGGCTCTTAAAAGTTAAAAAATGTCACTGTTTTATGCTTTTTTGCCATCATTGGTTTTCAGCAGTGTTCGGTTTCTCATTAAAATCAGTCTCTCACTGCAAAGAAGTCTGTGTGGCAGACTCGTGGGACTACACAGACTGTAAAAGCTAAGCAAGGTGGGAACTGGTGGGTGATTGTATGGGAATAGAGTAAAATCCCCATATTTCAGAGAGAAAGTTTTCTCCTTTGGGTTGCACTGAATCAGGATCCTTCTTCAACTTTGAAGGGAAAATTTTAGTGTCTCATGGTAATTCTCACACATCTTAAAAATGATTTCCAAATAACAAGTAGCTAAACCTCGCAGTGTTGCACTAAATTTGTTGCCATCCTTTGAATTTGAAAACACAGAAAAGAGATCAAGGTGGATAGGAAAGACTTTTGCTGTGTGCTCTGTGGCTTAGAGCTTGTTTCCTTCCAAAGAAAGGCCTGAATAACATTTGTGAAGGAAAGCTCAGCATTTTCCAAGGAGAATTGAATGTTAGCAGGGGTGCTTTGGTCAAATCGCCTGACAAAGCGAGCATTAAATATCAATCCATACTTTGATTATCTCTGGATTAACACCTACCAGGATTTACCTTAGCAAGTAATTACGGTCTGGTATGGAGGTGACACAGGTACAGGCTGTGAGTGGCCCTGAGCAGAGCACACCTTGCCAGAGAGCGGCTGCTGAATGGACGTGGCAGTAATGAATGAACCTCGTCAGCAGTCTGCGGCGTTGGAAATGCTCCAAACCATAGTAAATGCCAGACTGCACAACCACGCTGTAAATCTCCACCTCTTACTCATGCTTAACTCCTTAAAAACAAAGCATTCCCAGTATGAAACAACTTGTGGAAGTCTAAGAAAGAAAATAATAAGAGTAAAAATCCCTTTCTCTCTACAGTGGGGGAGTTCAAGGTCACTGGAAGCACCAAAGGCTCTCAGGAAACTTTTCATATCTGTCTCTGTATTACATGGACCTGATCTTTAAAACGATGGCTCCTGCAAAATCCCAGGAGCTTCTGCATTGCTCCAGGCTGAGATGGTGAAGGATGGGCAACAGAGCATCTGCTGTGCTTATAAGACAGTTTGGGCACTTGCACATAGCTTTTCTGTCCTGTCTGGGCCATTAACCACAGCCTACGTGGGACTGGATTTGCGCTGAATCTTCCTAGTGATCTCACCACCTACCACCAATTAACTGCCAGGCCTTTCCTACTTCAGTGAGTTTCTTTCCAGAAGAAAGTTAAAGAAAACATAAGATGTTGTCCTTATTTTAAGTTTTATGCTAAACTAGAAATGAAATATTCATCTGAATTTTTTTCTTTAAACTTTCTCATTTGGTAATTAATCATGTCCCCAGTAGGTATCATTAATTAGGTTTCTGAGCCCTAAGATTTTTCCAGGGAGAATTGGAAACATTATCCATGCCTCTGAGGATTCAGTAGTTACGTTTTCTGCCTAACCAGATGCTTTCTCTTTGGGAAGGAGAAGCCACGCTCACAAGAGAAACTTCATACTGGGACATGCAGAGGTGACAAACAGGTTTATCTTAGGCTACACGTATGGAGGAGGTTTTCCTCAAAGCCTGTGGCTTTCCTTCATTCCTGGTCCATGTCCAGGTGAAGCCCCTGATGGCCATGGTTGGAGTGTCCATCACACCACAACTGAACTGCGCTGCCATTGCCTGCACAGCGCGGCACAACCGGAGGCTGTCTGGGTTTGATGGCACCCATCAAAGGCACACTTGGGACCACCAAGGGTCAGAAGAGCTTCTGACACACACAGCAATCTGAGTTGAACCTGGGGAAAATAAGGAAAACTTCAAAACAGTTAGGGTGATACGTATTGGCTTCAGATGAATATTTGGGCAGAAACTTGCCGTACTGAGAATGAATTTGCTCTTTCTGAAATTTTGACTTTAAAAGCCCACCCTGGCGAGAAATTCAGTTTTCCTCCTAGTGTCTCCTCGTAGACTTTCTAGCAATTGAACTGAACCAGATTGCACCAGATTATTTGTGATGGTGATATGAACTGCTGTTGAAAGAAGCTGGAGTTTAAAACAGCAAATTACATCTGAACTGCAAGTGCTGGGGCCAGTGACTGATAAATGGTAGCAAACAGAGTAACAGCAGCAGCATCCGAAAGGGGTGGCCCGTTTCCAGCCATAAAAGAGAGGAGATAAGCACTGTAGGAACATTTCTCATTTGTCCGACGGGGATATGTCCTAATCAGAGCCCAAAAGGAGAAACACTGTGATTAGTGGTGTAAAGGCGCTAGTCTTAGTAAATCAAGTTGTTTTGAACATGTGTTCTGTAGCTAAGGCTCAGGCTGCCTTTGGGCCATTTAAGTTTTAAATTTATGTTAACTCCAGCGAAGCACGGGAATCGCAGCAGGGCTGGCTTTGTCCTGGAGCAATCCCGAACACGGGTAGGAGCGCAGCAAGATGAGCTCCATATGCCAGCAGATGGACATTAGTATTCTAGCATCCCCTGAAATATGAAATTATTCCCCAGTTTTGCTCCCATAAATAGCAAAGAAATGTAGTGGTGAGCCAGGCCCTTGATATAACTTATTCCTTGAATCTGCTTCTCCAGCTTTCTGCTTTCCTCAGTTACTGGATGTGCTTTGTGTTGAGGTCTGAAAACACATCGTGTGTCACCCTGTGCCAGTCTTTGCTTTCAAACACTGTCATCCCTTTTACCTGTAGCAGTTGGCTGAAACTGTGGGCTTTTGAAAAATCCCATTTATTTGAACACAACAGAAGCAAAATGTCAAGAGATGGGTCCTTGCTCATGGAGCAAAGATCCTTCCCTCTCCCACCATCCCTGTGGCGTGTTCCCAGTGAGCCATTTGCTTTCTCTGCCCATCTCAGCTTTTAACTGTGCTTTCTCTTCAAAACACAGCCCCCTTGATCCACCCTTGAGCCCCTGTATTTAATTGTTCAGTTTTTGGAAAACCCCTCACAATGGCCTGGCTTCTGCTCAGGGTGTCACCTAAGCAGAGGGACCACCACCTCTTCTCCCATTCAGCATGAAGTGTGGTGCTCATGGCATCATTATTGTTTATTCCAGTGAACATCTTTTAATGCAGCTCAAGCTAGTCATGAGGAAATTTCTTTTTTAAAAAAAAGGTAAAGACTGGAGGAGCCCAGATAAGGATGCCAAGGGGAAAGCATCAGACCCTCTAAAGACTCCATCCTAGAAAGACCTGGACAGCCCCCTTCTTACAGATGGGCTCAAGGTTTTAAATATTCCACTGCTGTGTTAAACTGGTAAAAAAACCCTATAAATATGCATTTTGGATGTATTAAAGCTCTGAGTGGAAACCAGTACTGTATTTGCAATTGAGATAACTCTGTCCTGCCCTCTCCTGTATTTCAGAGCGTGTGGCTGGGACATCAAACCTCGAGAACGTGAAGTTTACCTGGCATGAGGAGACAGCTTATGAATATGAAAGTCGAATGAATGCAGAAAAGAAGCCTAAAAAATGGGACTTTATTCACATGATCCAGGTAAAAGTCTCTGCAAAGTAAATGTTGTCAAAGACTTGGCTCTTTAAAGTATGCATGAAGTATGTGACCTCATTATCCACTCTAAGGGGAAGAAAGGTGAGTTTATTTCCCTGTAATTTAAAGTACTTAAGCATAAGTGATCTGCAAAAATGAAAGATGAGATACAGCAAAGCAACTTTGAGCACAGTAGTCCTATTAACTGGGCTGTGGGTGGCAGTCAACTAAAAATACATTTTAACTAGTGTTTTCAAAGCTCCTCATCCTCTCTGCAAAATTGCCTTTGTATTTCCCAGTTTACCGAAGCTGTTACAAGCCACCTTCACTACCAAGAAAGGCAAATCCTTTTATCTCAGGCTAATGAATGAACATGAGCTTGGTCCTGGGAGAGCCAGAGAGCAGGCAAAGCAGTGAGAGCCCCCTGTTTGCAACATGAGCCCACTGCCCCATGTTGTGCCAATGTGTCATCTTGTCCCGCTGCTCTTCTGTCAAGATCATCCCCACTTGGTTTCTTTTACTGAGAGTTACCAGTTTTAATACTCAGCAGGACCACACCACATCTGTGTAAGCATCTCTGCTCTTTCCAGATGCTGTATTATGTGAAAGATGTCCCAGCTACTATCCGGTATTTCCACAGCCTCCTGGAAGGGCAGGCAAAGCTCCTCATTATCCTGGTGTCAGGTGAGAACCACTCCACCAGCACTGCTCGGTTGGGCAAGAGCCATCAGGACCTTAGGGGTTCCTGCGAGTTCAACATGGGCCAGCTAGAAACCAATGCACATTTGTATTTAAATCATCCTTTATCACCTATCTGCCCTTCCCTATCCTACAGCCAGGCCAGTGCTGGACAGCAGCAGAGAGCCTCAAAGCAAGGAGAAGCTCAGTTGTGCAGCTCTCTCTTGCAAAAACTCCTTCAGCCTCTGCTATTTTCTGTAAAAGCCTTTTCAGGCTGGGCACTGCATTATCTTGCTCCCCGAGACTTGTGGCATTAAGCAAACGGCTACGACGGGGCTCGGCTGTGCCATACAGCAGGTGTTAGAGCACATATGGTTCATTTTCTCCTCAAACTGCCCATTTCCTTAATGTCATCATTTTGGGTGGAAAACAACGTTCTTAGGCTGCGTCAGACCTTAAAGAGATGCTTTGTGGTCAATGCAGCACTAAAATGTGGGAACTGAGCAAACGATGACCTTTTAATACTGTGGGCCAGATCTGCTAGAGACACTGCAATGGTGGGGATTAATTCAGTTCTAGAAAGTCTTTAATTTGCCTCACAAGCCCTAGAAATTTTATTTCTGTAAACAGACACATCTGACAGTTTTTTGGGAATATTAAGTGTTAGTTTTTCAGAGGTTTAAGATTAATTTTTTACTGAATTTGGTCATGAGCAATGTATTGGCAAAGAGTAATGTATTTGATGAAGTTCCTTTTTTGTGTCCATGGAGCACCCGCAGCAAAGTGTCACTTCTCTGACCTGAATTTATTCAAATCTTTTTTCTCCAAAATGTTTCTGATTTAAAGCATTTTCAAGCAGCTCACTACAAGAAGTATTTCTGTATTTGAAATTATCTGAGTTCTTGTTCTTTGGCTGAACAAGAGTAGATCGTAATACCAAGCTATTGCTGATTACCTGCGTATAGTTAATTGAAACTCTTTTCCAGTTGCTTAACCTGTCCCTTTGGATATTCATGAAATGTGAATACAGGGAGGAACATGTGTCTATTCAAATTAATGTGATTAAAAATCTGAATTAATGGAAAATATTTGAAGTCCTCTCTGGGCCAGGCAATGGTGCTTTCTGATGGAGCAGAATGGAGCAGAAGGTGCTGGGGCCAGCAAGAAAAGGGAGAGAGGAGCAGGGCTTAGAACAGCAGAGAGGAAAGGGAAGGAAAACCTTGGGGGAAAGAAGGGCACAGAAAGGGGAAGGAAGAAGTGCTGTGAAAATGAGCACTGAAGCAAAAAGAGGTGCTGGATGATAAACACAACAAAGCTCATTTCAAAAAATGAAGGTAATGTCATCTCCAACACAAACACATTAGGATGTGTTAATTAAAAACCAGTCTGGGAATAGGATTGATAGGAGAGGGCTTGGTCAGTCGGTGAAGGTTGCAATCCCTCCTGCTCCGTCCCTGCCGGGAGAGGTATGTGGTGTTATTTTTAACACATTTAAAAAATCTGTTTACATCGCCTTGAAAACAAAAGTAGTGCCATATGCTGAACCTATTGAGAGCTATTATAATAATGCTGCGTTCAGGTAGTGTATAATTGCTCGGCTCGGAGATGGCACTGAGTCACACAACACTGACACCAGCAAATTTTCTGCAATTAGTGCTCTGCATTCAATTTCCACCAGGTGAAAGAAAATATTGTAGCCCCTCTTCTAAACACCAAACTGTTCATTTGACTATAAATAACTGTCTGCAGATAAAGCATTTGCAAAATTGCCGAGCAACTGGTTTTAGTAGTTATGGAGATTTATAGTCGTGACTCCCAAGAGCTGCTCATTAGGCTTGAAGTTATTTTCATCCCGTCCAGTCATTCTGGGTGATCTTTTTATAAATGATTTATAGCAGAAATGCTGAGTCACAGATCTGGGATGAGGGAAAATGAAGATGTGAAGAGAGATCTTGGGGGGTTTCAGCTTGCCCAGCTGGTTTTCTTTGTAAAACAACCCTTGAGAAGAGGCACAAACCTGGGCTCAGCATGGGCTCAGTTCTGGAGGTGGTTGTGGTGCTACTGGAGCCTTTTCCTTCCTCAGCCTGTGTGCATACCCAGGTAGCACACAGCCAAAATGTCCTTCTGGCACCACTGGGGAGATTTGCTTGGGGTGAAGGGCATGCCTCTCATTGCCATACTCAACCGTGTGTGAGTGTAATGGGAGCAATGGATGAAGGCTGGGAGGATGGGGCAGCTCCATCCTGGGCTCGGGGAAGCTCACATGTAGCTCAACCACTAAGTCATTAGGTGAGGGAATAGGAGAGGATGTGGTTTTCCAAACAGGGAGCTGAAATCTGGGGAGCAGTTTAAATCCAAAAGATGGCTCTGAATTGCTGGTGTTCAGCACGTGGGCTATAGAGGGATGTCCCTATGTGCATGAAGCAGAGGAGTGCAGTGTGTTGGGAGTGGAAGGAGGGAGGATTGAGTGCACTGAGCTGCTCTGGCCTCACCTGAGGGCTCGGTGGGAGGTGCTGGAGCTCCAGGGTACATAGAATGTCCATCTCCTCCTGCAAACCCCAACCCTGAGGCTCAGAAGCAGAGAGGCAGCCATCTCCACCATGGTCCAGCACACATGTCCCAGCTCTGGGGAGATCCCGGTTGCAATGCAGACAACCTCTAAAATAATCAGATAATAAAAAATTTGTTCAAGTAGTGTTTTTTGTTATTTCTGAGCATTTTTCTTGTGGTTTATCTCTCAGAAACCAGTGGCTGGGAAACGCTGTGGAAGAAGTTTGGGTCTTCCCTCCCTTTAGATGATCTCTGCTCTTACGTTTCCTCTGCTAACATCAAAAGGATACTGGATTCAGCCGGGATGAAGTACCAGCTCCACGAGCTCCCATCCCACATGGACATAACGAGCTGCTTTATTGAAGGCAACAAGGATGGGGAGCTGTTGCTGGATTTCCTGACAGAAACTTATGAGTTTTCTAAAACTGCTCCTTCTGAACTAAAGCGTCAGGTAATGGAAGAGTTACAAAAGCCTGGATGCAGCAAAAAAAGAGATGGGAAGGTGCTTTTTAATAACAACCTGAGTGTAATAGTGATTGACCCATGACTTCACCTCTTCTTGCTTCTTAATCCAAAGCAAACAGTCAGATAGAAACTGTTAACAGCTGAACTATGTTTTTCATACTTCATGAGTGACTTAGTTTACTTCAGTAGTGATATATAATTTTTGGAGCCTGTTAAGAAATCAGTATTAGTATCTGTTGTTATAAGTTACCCGATTAATTCTGCACTAATGAATGTGTAACTCACTTATCAATTGACTGTGCTTTATTGTATGGATCTTGTATAATCAGATGTAACTTGGACCATTCACTCAAGCACTGCAGAAACATGACTATTTCTAAAAAAATAAACAAAAACTAGATGTGGTTTCATCATCTTCATTTAAATCCCCTTCTAGAGACCAAATAAGTTACAACTTCTCAGTGTAGTTGTCAAGCGTGGAGGCTCAGAATGATGGACAGTTTGGATGGCTGCTCAATGGGATCTCTTGATCTTGCTGTGACTTCAAGACCTCGTACCCTCAGTTACAGTGGAAGTGGCCTCACACCTCCTACATGTTTGATTGTTGCCTGCTCCTGCCTCCACAGCCAACTCCATTTAATGGCACTGCTTCACTTTTCCTGTATTTTTTCCCCTTTTCCTGATGCAAAGCCTTTGTTAGGAATCAGCCACTGCTGTCACACAGAGCTTTTTGATCTTTGTCTTTAGCCACACAAACCTTCTGGTTGCAGCCCTTCACCTCCCTTGCAGCAGGGACCATGCATTGCTTAGTAACACAGGAGATGTAAACATGAACTCTGATGACAAAATGACAGGTTTTCAGTGGGATTTGGTTCATTTTCAATGGTGCCATGGCAGGTGACTCTGTTCAATATCTAGTATACGATGTGCAGCAAGAAGGTGCTTCATCTCCTTGGTCCCTTCTCCTTGTGTCTCCACTCTGATAGTTGATGCATTTGTTTTGCTAAATGATTTTACGGTTTTAAGAAATGTTATGCTCGCTACAAGGCACAGTGCATGGTGGAATACAATATAGTCACTTGAATGAGTTTAATAGTCTGAATACTCAGTTTATCCAGTGAGACAGGTGTGATTTCTGCCATTGAAATAATTTGATTCAGTGTTGAAATGGTTTACTTTAGGTAATGCTTTAGCAGCAAGAAATTATGTTTTATTTTTGCATATACATTTCTGATACAGTATAGATCATTAATGCTTTGAAGTGGTTTACAAGGGACCATATTGTGCATTAATAGCTGTTTGTATTCATTTTAGGGTGAATTATTTGAAATACACACTTCTCCTAGTGATGGAATATTAATTCCAATGTATTTTAGAATGTCTCCATGATATTTTTCAACTGTTGAACAGAACAAAATCTATCACCACTTTTACACAGTGCTATGTACAGACTCCTGCATTAGAAGACCTCAGTATATCCGTAAGCTGCTATGGTGTCATGCTGAAGTGGGAGGGAAAGAAAATCTCTCATTAGGACAGATTGCTGCATGCATTTCTAATGGGTAACAAAGTTACAATTATTTTCGTAGCTCTTTTGTGCTGTCAGTGACCTCTTCTAAATGGTGCTCACAAAGGAGGTGACCGCTGAATATTGCCACATCAACCCTGTCGGGAGTGATGTATCTTTGGGAGCTGCAGAAACGCCAAAACAAAAAAAAAACCATCCCAAAATCCAAGAACAAAACCCAGAAACAAGATACCTGTGCATGTCCTGTTTGTTTTGTGGTTTAGCAGAGGTAAAAACAGAAGAAAAATAATTCATAATTTTGGGGGAGGTTTGGTCTGAAAACGTGGGAGAAAGGAAAAATGAGGAAGAGGAGAGATGATCTGGGAAGAGGAGAGGAGGAAATAGCCACAACCACGTGAAAAAGGAGATTCAATGTGAACGCCCGTGAGGGCTCCTTCCCTGCTTTAATCAGAAAGAGAGAGGCTGGGGAGGGAGAGCTGCCTGGACTCACACAGGGTCACATTTAAAAGCAGAATCCACTATGGGAAAAGGCACTTCCACCCCAAGCTGAAGAAGAAAACTCCTGATCTCAAACCAGACGTGCTGGGGTAATCCTCTGCTATCGCTTTAATTTCTGAGGAGAATTTTGTTAAAGAAATGGGGAAAAGAAATGCAGAAACTCCGTTCTGTACATGCAGCTGCTTCCGTTAAGGGGCTGGGGGAAAACTGAATCAGAAGAGCACCCTTAAGGGATAAATTATTTTTAATTTTATATTTGTAACACACGCATTTCCAAGAAGTAAGCACTGCAAGTATTATTTAGTAGGAAATGAGTGTGGGGAAGCACAATTTTATGCTCATTTGACCATAAAAACCGAAGGATTTTTTTGGTAAATCTCTCAAACAACTTCCTAATAGCCTGAAGAGCCACATTTTCATGTGAGAATCTCCCTTAATTGTACAGTGAGATACTGCTATTCCAGAGCGTGTTTGGGGAGTCCAGCCTGTCCACAGAACAGGATTTATACGGCAATTTTGAGCTTACCTGTGTGCTTTCTGCACTGAATTAATTGTTTTCCCCTCAGAAACTCTGCCTTATCTCAATGAGCAGAAATTTATTCCAAAAGCACATCATCTCCAGACCAGCCTGGCTTTTAGCAAACCCCCAGGTGGATGTGTGGGCCAGCGGGATGGGTCTTCCTCACCCACACCCCTAGAAAGAAAATATTTAAGCTTTATACAGAGGTTCACAGAGAGCAGAGGTCTCAAACCAGCATAAAACTTGCTTGAGATAGCTGTATTAAAAGTATATCAGAAATCCTGCAAATTCTTCATGCATAGGTGCCCCTTTCTGGCTAAATAGATGAAGTGTAACATTTTATAGGTCTGTGACTCTGGGTAAATGCAATCCTTCACATTGCACCTACATGTTCATCAGAGACCGTTCTCAACAGTGTTTTCTGTTTAAGTTGGGAGACATCCTTTTTGCTTTTCATTTCACCAGCACATAAACCTGGAATATACAGATTATATTACAGGTACAGGAGAAAAAAGCTGGAGGGAAGGAGGGGGGAGAAGAAGGAGAAGGAGGAGGAGGAGGAGAAGGAGCTCTCCTTTCAAATAGCCTGCAAACGCCCAGGCCTGTGTCTCTCTGATAAGTAAGCGTGAGCTGGTGGCTCCGATGCTGCATCAGGTGATTATTTCCCAAAATAATTCCCACAGGAGGGTTGCTGTGCAGGGAAGGGAACAGCCCAGTGCCCATGGATGAGGCACAGCATTGGAGTGATGCCACGTGGGAAGGCTGGGGGAGAGCAAAATTGGGGAGGAGAAGGCTGACCACCTTCAAAGGAGCCTGGCCTTCACACATACATCCCCTCCGCATCAAATACATCTGCATGAGCAGCCTCAGGACTGTTACTTTAAATCATACAGAGGAAAATATTCTCATTGCTCTGTTAATTACAACAGCAAATTGAACAAATGCACTTAGAGCTCGGTCGCTGTCACCATTTCTGCATCGGTGTAATTCATGCTTGCAGCCCATGATAGGGTTTTTTAATGTCATTACACAGTAGGGCAAAGTCTTCATTTTTAATAAAAATACGAATGCTAAAATGAAATGGATTAATATCTAATTTTACATCTTCATTTACATGATGTGCAAAATTATCTTAAATATTTGTTATGGATGGAGTGGCTTTCCACCAATTTAGGCTTTTTTTCGTACTGGAGAATGTTAACATAAATTGTAGCATAAATCATTGCCTTGTAGAGTACCAGAAGGCGCATATAAAAACCCATATCTTTACTGCACATATTTCCCATTAACCATAATCTATTAGTAATTGAAGTTCATTACAAATTCTTGTAGACTTTATTGCTATCATGCTGCATGACACAGTGAACCTGGCTTGCATAACAAGAAGTCCTTGCTGGGAAATATCCTATTAACAATGACAGTGCATTTGTCATTGTGATAATAAATCCAAAGCTGCCTGTAGATTATAAATTATTGCGGCACCATTTCCACTGTTGTAGTTTAAAAGTTTTGTCAGCACTTCCATTTTAAACCCCTGCTTTACAGGCAGTTATAACTTGACCATAAAAATCTGCAGCGAGCTGAATCTCAGCTTACAAGGTCTCGGACCAACAGCGTGTTTCTTCCCCCAATAAGATTCATATTTCATCCACATGAAAATCTTAGAAGCAGAAGCTGTGTTTACGGCAGATTTTCTTCTTCTGCATTTGCATAGCTTCTAATTGGAAAAAAGGAGGCCATTTGACAAGCAATTTGTCCATAATCTTTCTAAAGATTGTGTTAAAATTAAAAAAAATATCAAGACAAAAAGAAGGGAGCTGGGCTGAGCTGAGTGTTCGCTGGTTCAGCATTTTTGGAAAAGCCTCGGTCCTTATCTCCAGGTGCCATGGACTTTGGGGAGGCATTGGGCAAACTCCGTTTCTCTTCAAAGGGGAAACTGAAGACAGATGATGCTACCCGTACACCTTGCAAAGGTATTTTGAGGATTAATTACTAATGCCAGGTGCCATGGACTTTGGGGAGGCATTGGACAAACCCCGCTTCTCTTCAAAGGGGAAACTGAAGAGAGATGATGCTACCCATACACCTTGCAAAGGTGTTTTGAGGATTAATTACTAACGCTGAAATTCTGGCACCCACTCAAGCCATCCTTCATCATGTCTATGCAATTCTTTGAGCTCTGTATAGGTTTTAAGTGTTATTAAAAGAAAATTGCCATAGAGTTGAACTTTAAGTGTTAATTATGACTTGAGATATAAATGACATCAGGTCAAATCTCTCACAATTTAACTCTGTAATTGACTTCAGCTCGCTCCATCAGGGGATATCTATAGAGTTGGCTGCATCTGTCTGTCATATTTATCCAGCACCTATAGCAATGCATCCAATTAGCTGGACGTAATCATTATGCCTCAACTGCTCCTAAATAGTGTGGGATGAAGCCTTCACTTCCCTGAAATCACCAGGAAACCTTTCCCTCCCACCAGCAAGGCCACGTTTTCACAGCATCACATCATACGTGCCCTGTCTTGAAGTA